TGATATTATCTGCTACATAGTATTATTAAATCATGTTTTAGCCTGTCTTATTGATGTTTAGCTGTTTAACTTCGAATTAGAAATGTGTCGGCTGGCCTTGTCTTTACAAGAGGCGCCATCACGATCGGGTCTGGGTTTAGGGTCGTGACACTTAGCTATTATCATATGCAGGACATTATTTCAACAAATTTACTACATTTAAACTATGGTTTATATTCAGAAATGTTAGTGTTTAGTACAAATTTTCTACAAATTGATTAAGTTAAACATACTTACTGTAACAGTGAAGGAAGATATGCCTGCAGAATCTCCAAGACATGAAGATACAATAAGCATTCAAGGAGAACAAAAGAATGAGGAGAATGGGAGAAAAATCAATCTCCCATTAAAGAAAAGAATGTTATACAAGAAGGAGATGATTGGTGTGAAGAAGGAGGTGAACCGGCCGAGTACGTTAATGTAGGTGATTCGGACGACTCCAGATTTGAGAAAAGGGAAGTTAAACTTGATGATTTTGAGCTGCCAGAGAACTACTCCCAGATTGTTAAGTTCGGCGAGCTTAACCAAGATGAAACAACCCCTGTGCATCAAGGAAGAACAAGGCAGCCTGGAAAGCATGCCCGATCACCCTTTCTCCCTTTTTATAGCTCCGGTGGCAGCACTTCTGTTGGACCTCCAATTTTTCAAATCAAGCATCCGTTTACTGGGATTATAGGTCAAGATGTTGATCCTGAGTTGTTGGAAGAATTCAACAACTGGTTATACCTTGGTACCGATACAACTTCAAAGAGGTTAGTTTATACAATTTATTCATATTTCTGAGTGCATTCATCTTTTGGATATCCACTTCAATCTACATATTTATTGTAATTGCTATGTGTAAAAATAGGAGGAAGGCGCCTTATTCTGTAAAAGATAACCAACTTAAGCTATGGTATGATCTTGGAGTGGAGAAAGTTGATAAAAAGGAGTAGTTCTATACTTTGGCACATCCCGAGCAAGTCCTCAATGACTCGGTAAACACATACCATGTCAGAATTTAATGAATAGTTGTGTTATCCTGTCATCTCCAGACTATGTAGTTATTTATAGATATATTGTAGATAAATTATAAGAATGATTAATAACAAATGAAATCTGTTTTTGTTCCAGCACATTGATGTTATCATGTACTACTTGAGAAAAAGAGAAAAGTATGGTCCCCACAACAAGATAAGGTTTACAACCATTGATTGTATGTTCAAGACTAGAATTGAACAAATTTATCAGAGGTACATCAATGCTCCTCCCGGAAAGAAGTTTGTTGTTGTCAAACCCCAGGACGTCGTAGCAGAATACATATAGGGGTACAGATTACTCGCAAGTTGATTTCGTGATCATGCCCATCAACATTGTAGAAAAATTTCATTGGTTGTTGGTTGTTTTTGTACATTATCGATAGGGTTCTTTATGTGTATGATTCTATGGTCTCTTCTACATAATCACACCACTTATTGTAATCTGTCGTCACCAACGTTTGTCTCTTATGATCCCCTTACTTCGTCATGCACCGGTTTCTATGGAAATCGTCCAGACATCTAACTCTAAGACCATAAAGACGATACATTGAAAAA